AAAGTAAATTGCTTCATAAAAAAAAAAAAAAATTAAAGGATTTTTTATGGAAATATTTGACTACACAATAAAAAAATGAACCAAAAAAAAATTAGAGTCTTGATACTCAATTAAAAAAAAGTAAACATTGATGCATGGACAATGTAAAATTTTCTTAATTAAAGTTAAAAAAAAAATTTTAATGCAATTGTAAGAAGTGGTATCAATAAATTTTAGAAAGTCGGTGTATGATAGTAACTAATTAGAGCATAAAAAGTATAAAAACGAAAAACGATTCTAAAAAATAAAGAGAAAATCATCCCTAATATTTTATTCTATATATAGAAATATGAGAATATGGCAATATGTTTTCTCTTATTGAAGTGCATGAGTATAACACATATATATACAAGTCTAGGATTAGTCTAAATCCTTAGAATCAAGCTATCATCAACTTCCTAGAAATCAACCCTATAATTAACTTACTATTTACATGAGAATCAATTTTATAGTTGATTTACTATATTTACAACACTCCCCTCAAGTCGGAGCATAGATGTTAATCATGCCCGGCTTGTTACGTATATAATCAATCTAAGGACCCCTTAAAGCTTTGGTGAAGATATCATCTAGTTGTTCTCCAGCTTTGATATGACTTGTAGAGATAAATCATTGTTGAATTTTCTCACGGATAAAGTGACCGATCTCGATGTGCTTAGTTCTTTTATGAAAAACTCGGATTTGATGCGACAAGAAGAGCATCTTGATTGTCACACCACAATTTCATAGGAAGCGAATTTTCAAGACCAATCTCATTTAACAATCGAGATATCCACACAAGTTCACACGTGGATTGGACCATTGCTCTATACTCCGATTCCGTATTAGATCGAGACACAACATTCCGCTTCTTATTTTTTCATGACATCAAATTTTCACCAACAAATACACAATATCCTATAGTAGATCTTCCGTCAATCTTGGATCTAGCCCAATCCGCATCCGAGAAATACTCAATACCTGGAATGGTCATAATTACTATAGAGCAAACCACGCCTTGAAGTCCCTTTGAGATAACATAAGATCTATTCTAACGCCGCCCAATGAGTAATTCGAGGAAAGGACATAAACCGACTCACAATGCCGATAGGATATGCGATGTCGGAATGAGTTACCGTGAGATAATTTAGGTTTTCAACTAACTCTGTGATATCTCTCGGGATTAGCAAATAACTCCGCATCATCCGTTGTAAGTCGTAGATTAGTAATCATTGGTACACTAGAAGGTTTAGCTCCTAATTTTCTAGTTTCTTTCAATATATCAAGAATATACTTTCGTTGAGAAAGAAAAATACCTTTCTTGGACTCGGTAACTTCAATGCCCAAGAAATACTTCAACAAACCCAAACTTTTTGTTTGGATTTGGTATAGAGAAAAGACTTAAGGGCTAAAATATCGGTATCATCACCGTCGGTAATCACAATATCATCAACATATACAATTAACAAGATAATATCAGTTTTCGATCGTTGGTGGAAAATAGTATGGTCATAAGTACTCTTTTTCGGACTAAATTCTTGAACTACAACACCGAGTCGCCAAAACCAAGCGCGAGGACTCTGTTTTAACCCATACAAAAACATTTAAAGTTTATAAACTTTCCCATACTCTTCCCGAGCAACAAACCCGGGTGGTTGCTCCAATAGACTTCCTCCCGTAAATCACCATGAAAGAAAGCATTCTTGACATCTAATTGATATAAGAGCCAACCATTAATAGCAACAAGAGAGATAAAACAAACGGATATATGTAAGTTTGGTAACCGAAGAAAAAGCATCGAATAATCTACACCATATGTCCGAGCATACCTTTTTGCAACTAATCAAGCTTTGAGACGAGCCATAGAACTGTCGGGATTAACCTTGGTAACATACACCCATTTACAACCAATAGCTCGTTTACCTTTTGGGAGATGAACCAATTCCCAAGTACCATTATCATTTAAAGCCATCATTTCTTCCTCCATAGCTAGTCTGCTAACCGGGATGGGATAAGGCCTCATGCAATGTTGTAGGTATAGAAATCGAATCTAACAAAGCAATAAAACAATACAAAGAGGGAGACAAGTGATCATAAGAAGTAAACAAAGAGATAGGATGAGAACAATGTCGTTTACCTTTATGAAGAGCAATGGGAAGATCAAGACTAGGATCCATAGAGGGAGGAGCCGGCGGAGGATGTGAGTCTTGATTTGGTTGTAGATCTCGTGGATGAGTACGACGAGAGTAAACTTGACTAATAGGTGGCTTAATGGGTATATAAGATTCGGTAGTTATAGTCACAATATATATGAGAATATCATCTTCCCCTCCTCACAATTATATGTAGTAGGTTCATGAAAAAATGGAATAGTCTAAAAAAATATTACATCAACTCGAAATTAAATAACGACCCAAAGTAGGAGAATAATACCTATAACTTTTCCGAAGACGAGAATATCCTAAAAAGACACATTTGAGAGATTTTGGATCTAACTTAGACATTTTGGGATTAACATCACGAATAAAAGACGTACAACCAAAGACACATGGTTCAATTGGAAATAAACATTGAGAAGAGAATAAAAGAAAATGAGGAGTATCACTAAAAAGAACGAGAGGAGGATAGCTGATTGATTAAGAAATATGCCGTAGACACAACATCAACCTAAAATTGTTTAGGAACTTTCATTTGGAAAAGAAGGGCTCTAGTAACCTCTAATAAATGTCTATTTTTTTCGTTCAAGCAACACTATTTTGAAGTGGTGTGTCATCACATAATGATTGATGAAGAATTCCATTTTATGGCATATAGGTATTGAATGACTAAAAAAATACTCTTTCACATTATCACTTCTTAAAACACATACCGAAATATTAAATTGAGTTCGAATTTCAAGTACAAAAAGCATAAAATATAGAGAACAATTTCGGATCAATTTTTCATAAAATATAACTAAGTAGCACGAGAATAGTCATCAATAAAAATGATAAAATATCAAAAATCAGTTGTAGAAGTCACCGGATAAGGACCGCAAACATCGAAATGAACTAATTCAAAAGGTGACATAACTCGTTTATTGACTCTAGAAAAGTATGACACATGATGGTGTTTAACAAACCGACATAACTCGCATTCTAAAGCGAGATAAATTTTGAAGCCGAGAAAATAATTTCTTTAAAACAAACAAAGAAGGATGCCCTAACCGATAATGCAACTCGGGAGGTGTTATACTACTAGAACAAGTGATAGGTTGTGGTATATGTTGTGATATAGGTCGAAGATGATACGACCCTCCGGACTCACGTCCTCTACTAATAATCTTCCCCGACGTATGATCTTGAAATAGACAATAGTCGGGAGAAAATAAGACACAACAATTGAGAGCTCGAGTGATTTTACCGATCGACGAGTAGATTAAATAAAAAATTGAGTAAACATATGACGGATGACAGAGAGAGAGATGATGTAGGAAGAGCTTTTCCAATTCTTATAATAGATGTGGTTGACCCATCGACCGGAGTGACACTAGGAAGATTTTTCCGTGAAACGAAGGAGGAGAGAATATCTTTATTACCTATCATGTGATCCGTAGCACTCGAATCAATGACCCATTTGAAAGAGGATGACACGAAGACATGTAGTAGGTTTACCTATCTCATCACTTATAGTCGGAGGCGGATTGAAATACTTTAACGAGGATTGATATCGAGTAAACCGAGCAAAGTCATCGGCGAGACACCATTGTAAACTTTTCGGACGAGGAAGAGGCGGGACTAGCTTTTGGGCCGCAAATTTTACGAGCATGAATCGTAATAACATCGGAGATCATAGTTTTCTTCATCGTTTTGTCGGCCATTAAAAAAGAAAGGAATAAAATTAGGTAGCAAGGTCACGGTGGCTCACTAGGGCAAGCAGAAAAAGAGAAAGAAAAAAATATGATAGCTCAATAGGGCAACGACAATAGCTACTCAATTAGGGCGACGAAACTCGATACCATGTAGAAATATGAGAATAAGGCAATATGTTTTCTCTTATTGAAGTGCATCGATATAACATATATATATACATATCTAGGATCAATCTAAATCCTTAGAATCAAGCTATCATTAACTTCCTATAAATCAACTCTATAATTAACTTACTATATTTACATGAGAATCAATTCTATAGTTAACTTACTATATTTACAACACTATAGATGTGATTGGTCACTTGATTGATTTTTGTTAATTTAAATAAAAATATATAAGATTTATTAAGATCAATAAATTTTGATTTAAATAAACTAAAAAAAATATGAGCAACTCCAAAACACTCTTTTTAAAAAATAATTACCCGGTAATAGAAAGTTGGCCTACATTTTTTTTCCCATCCTTGCTTCCTAAAACTTCAAACATGTTTTATTCCCACTATAAAAGGGTATCTGTTACTGCTAGGATCTTCCGACACATGGATTGCGTCTGGCTCACTTAATTAGGAAGCTTTCCTTTTTTTCAGTTTAGTCCTTGTATTCTAACAAGACTTGCCAATGTCCTTGTACTTTTAAATACTATTTGAATAGGTCAAGCCCAAGGGTGATTTCGTCTCTTAAAGTTAATTAATGCAAAATCCGAAAGAGTATTATGAGCGTGGGAATAGTTGCAATTTTTTCTCGGACAAAATTGGATATCTACATGGTGTAATAAAAAAATTAAAACGATAACTCTAAACACGAGAAAAAAAAATGAAAAGTTAGTATACCAATAGTATAATTATCCATAGAAAATTAAAAAATATTTAGTACAACACTCTATTTTGTTGTAATAAGGAATAATTAATTAATAATTTTCTAAAATCCAAGAGGAGCGTGTGTCACACTCTCTTTATCCAAACGTGGAAACAAAATCCTAGTCCTTTCCCATAACAACCAAAATCAAATTCCACGAAAACTCATCCTCTTCAATAAAACCTCCCAAACCGTGGTTTCGGATCCCTGAAAAATGACCGATCCCATCCTAACCCAGAACCCACCGCCACCGCCGCCGCGACAGAATCCGAATCCTTCGACGGAGGATATGGGGGAGGAATTCAATTCCCAACTCCCAATTCCATCTCTCGATCCTCTCTTTTTCAATCAAAATTCTGATCAAAACCACAACTTTGACGTCCCAGATCTGTCCACTAATTTCGACGATATTTCCGATTTTGACATCACCTTTGATGATCTAAGTGACCTCTACTTCCCACCAGAGACCGAACAGTTCCTTATCCCCGACAACAACACAATCAATCCGGATCCGGGTCAACCCGATAACCCGGATGTTCAACCTACTCCTTCCGAAGACTGTTTCGGGGATTTTGCTTCCAATCCGGTCAATTTGGAGTCGCCGGAGTCAGGTGGATCCGGAGTTTGTGGTGATCATGGCGGTTTGGAGGTTGATGAGTATCTCAATCATTCGCCGTCGGAGGCTGGGAGTTGTGATTCGGATGGTTCTGATAATCGATGCTCTGATTTGGGTCCGGTATCGTCTCATGGGTCTGGGAATTCTGGGTCGGGTGTGTTGAATGCTGGTTCGCCGGAATCAGGTACGAATGCTAATCCAAGTAATTTTGTTGTTGAACAAAAGCTTGTGAAAGCCGAAACCGAAAGCGCAAAAAACCCTAAAAACGCTAAAACTGCTGTAACGAAGAGGAAAAAAGAAATTGCTGATGGAGAAAATGGAGAGATTACGCGAAATTTGAAGTCCCGGAAAGCTGAGATTGAATATGTGAGTGTTAATGTTAGTGGGAATGCGTGTTTGAGTGAAGAAGATGAGAGGAGGAAGGCGAGGTTGATGAGGAATCGCGAAAGTGCACAGTTGTCTAGGCAAAGAAAGAAGCATTATGTTGAGGAATTAGAAGATAAGGTGAGAGCGATGCATTCTACGATAGCTGAATTGAATAGTAAAGTTTCGTATTTTATGGCTGAAAATGCTACTTTACGACAACAAATGAGTGGAAATGGTGTGTGTCCGCCACCAATGTATGCGCCAATGGCCCCTTATCCATGGGTGCCGTGCTCTCCTTATGTTGTTAAGCCACAAGGGTCTCAAGTGCCACTGGTTCCAATTCCTAGGTTGAAACCACAACAGGCTGCACCAGCGGTGAAGGCTAGGAAAGGGGAGGGGAAAACTAAGAAGGTTGCTAGTGTTAGTTTGTTTGGTTTGGTGTTTTTTATTGTGTTGTTTCGCTGGCTGGTTCCAATGGTGGATGTTAAGTTTGGAGGAGTCGGAGAGGGTGGGATTAGTGGGTTTGGTTCTGTTAGTGAGAGGTTTTATGATCAGCATAAAGGAAGGGTTTTGATTGTTGATGGGTACACAAATAGGTCGCATGAGAAGGTTGGTGTTGGTTATTCTAATAATAGAATACATTATGAGAGAGGTCGTAATGGCTGTCTGGAGCATGATTCTGCGAATAAAGGAGCTTCCGAGCATTTACCTGGATCAGATGAATTTGGTAAGTTTGGTAATGCTAGTGAACATCTTGTTGCGTCCTTGTATGTACCCAGAAATGATAAGCTTGTGAAGATAGATGGAAACTTGATAATTCATTCTGTTCTGGCAAGTGAGAGAGCTATGGCCTCTCATGAGAGTCCAGAAGTGAATATCACTAAGGAGACGGCACTGGCTATTCCTGGTGTTGGTATTAATAGAGGGAGACATTCTCATGTGTATCGAACTCATACTGAGCGACAGAAGGCCATTGCTTCTGGATCTGCTGACACTTCGAAGGACAATTTGAAGTCATCTGCAGCCAAAGGTAAACTGCAGCAATGGTTCCGTGAAGGCCTTGCAGGTAATTATTATGCCTTCTCACTCGTTTTATGCATTTCATGCATGCATATAGGCTGCAAGTAAAGTTGCTATATATTATGCTTTTATATATAAACTGTCCATTGAAATTTAAAATTTTATTTTCGTCCATGGCATTCTGGTTGATGTTTATTTTTGTATTGTTTATCATGTGCCAAGCGATGAATCAAACCTAGATTAGGTGGTGTATGGACAGTCAACATCAGTTATGTTTTTTTTTTTTTACTGTTCTTTAAGTTCAAAGAGACCAGTAGAGTCTTGCTTATTAAAAAGAAGTCAAACATAAGAAAATGGACACTAATAAAGGATCAGTTGGAGTAATGGCAGATACTGAGTTGAATAGAAGACGAAGAATGTGATAACAGAATGGGTGTATGGAAATACTGGAAACTTGGGAGCTCAAAAGTAAATGTATTTGCAATTCTGTTGTCTGATCGACTGAAATTTGGATTGTAGGATTTAAGTGTTTCATTACTGCCCCCTTTGCTCTGCCTTTTAGTTACAACTTAGAGATTTTGGATTGTCTATTTCCTCCTAAACAATTTTCGGGACTTTTTTTTATATATGCTGTGTGCTTAAATTTGTGTTTATGCACAACCGTCCATTCTCCTAGAGTTGTTTTCCATTGTCGTTGAATGTTTTTTATTTGCTCTTGCAGCACTTGGGAAGCTGGCAGTTTGTTACGCCTTTTTTGGCTTGTCTAGTTCTTATTAACAGTGCGAGGTTGCTTTATTTTCTTCTTTTCAGGACCATTGTTGAGTTCTGGTATGTGCACTGAAGTTTTCCAGTTTGATACCTCACCTGCACCAGGAGCCATAGTTCCTGCTTCCTCAGTTGCCAATATGACAGCAGAGCGCCAACAGAATAACTCTAGTCGCCTGAAGAAGAGAAAGAATAGAAGGATCCTCCACGGCCTCCCAATTCCTCTTCCGGGGTCTGATCTCAATATTACTGGAGAACATGTTGGAAGGAACACTAAGAAAGAGAACTTTCATGGTAATAAATCGGTTTCTCCGATGGTTGTCTCTGTCCTTGTTGATCCTAGAGAGGCTGGCGACATTGATGTTGATGGCGTGATCACCCCGAAGTCACTTTCTCGGATTTTTGTCGTGGTGCTCGTAGACAGCATAAAGTATGTAACTTATTCATGCGCGCTTCCGAGCACTGGTCCTCACCTGGTGACAACTTGAGGATGGAAAGCAGTTGGGATTATTTTAAAATTCACCCAACTTGAGGTCCCAGTTTTGTATATAGGAGAGCAATAACATTATCACTAGCAACTTTAACCTCCTTATGTATTATTCAACTTATTTATTATCCTTAACATTTACTTGTCATAACCGTCCTGTTCTTACATATGGCTCAGAGAATCTGATCCACAATCCTTATATTACCTTTAACTGGTTTGCGACTGACATTTATGTATTAAATGATATGTGATTATGTAAGGCAAGGGACTAGAAAATTTGAAAAATTGTATTGCCCTGTCTTGATCTGAATAGGTTGAATGTTTCAATCTTGTAATGACACTAATGTATGAACTTAGTTCCTTGTAAAATTGGATTTTACCAGGAAAAGCTTTGATCATATATAAGAATCTGCTTTTGGATTTGACCCGATTTGTCAGAATTTGATCATTTTATTTTCTCTTTGTGAAATTTTTATGGGTGATATTAGATGTAATTAAGGTTTAAAATCATCGAGTGCCAGACTGATTCAAACTGATTCAACAATAATAAGAAAGTAAATTGGGTTAACAGCCGAAAAGAAAGTAAATTCAACAGAATAATCTGGCTTGTAATTAAAATATATTGATGAATGAATAATTGATTTCTATATATATATATATAACAAACAAAAAAAGAACTGAATTCAATTGTAACAGCAGGTACAACATAACTAACATAAACTATGAATGAATAATTGATTTATATATATATATAACGAAAAACTGAATTCAATTGCATCAGCAGGTACAACATAACTAACATAAACTATGAATGAATTGACTGTGCAAAAGAATTACATCTCTTATGCATATTGATTACAAGCTACGAAGGCTTCAATATTCCGTAGGAATACTTGATTTGTCCTCTTCTTGTCCATTCTTCATCTTCTTACACAAAGATTTCTTCCTGATTTGCGCATTCTCGAATCGCCTCTGATTGCTAGCCATCTCTTCTGATGTTATAGTCACAAGTTTCTCTGCCTTAATTTGTCCAAGAAGAACTTTTCTTCTCAAATCTGGATTCTTTGGATCCTTCATGTTGAATTATATAGATCTGTACTTCAATTGTTTTGCGCCGCTGAAAGGCCCCATCGTTTCAAACATTACTGATTCAACTTCCGCAGCAACGCATATTGGCTCCCGGGAGCTTACTGCTTCCCTCAAGTCCTTTTTAACCTCCTTGGCAACTCTGCTCATCGACTCCACAAGAATGTGTCTTACCTTGCGACGCAAGGCATCACTGCATTTGACAGGCTCTTCTGATGGTTTCTTGATGAAACTACAGGAATCTTTCACATTCTCTTGCTGTGTAATGCACTTGGCAGAAGGTTTCTTGAAACCACGACAAGAATCTCTCACTTTTTCTTGCGTTGTGTTGCGCTTGGCAGATGCTTCTGGTGGTTTCTTGAAACAACGCCCGATACCTTTAACTTCCCCTGGCTTTGCGAAGCGCATGGCAGGTTCTTGTGGTGGTTTCTTGAAACAAGCGAACCCATTTTCTTTCTCTTGTTTTATCTTCTTCTCTTCAATCTTTAGATTCTCTTCTGTCTTAATAGGCATGTTAACTTTAATCCTTCCTATTACTCGTCCGTGTATCTTGACAATAAGAGTCTCAGTTTTTGACCCATTGCCAGATTTTGCTGTCTGAATTTTACCATCAACGGCAGGGTTTCTTGCGTACAGTTTCCTCCTCCAAGTATCAAGCAAGCAAGAAGCAGCAGTCCTGATCGGCTCTGAGCGGTGTTTTGTAAGATACTGGACCCCTTTTGCAACTGGAGTGGAGAGAAGAACCCTAGATGATGTTACGGGGAACCTCTTAAGCTGGTCCAAAGCATCTAGGCATCGACAAACTTCAGGAGACGTTGAAGTAGAAGTGGTCACAGCATCTGCCGATTTCTTAGCTGACTCAAACAGCGATAGAAATTGTTGCTCCATCGATGATAAATGATCTTATAGACTAGGGTTTAATCTCGGTAACTACCAAAAAAAGACGAGACGGAAGATTAAATTGGAAATCTAGGTTTTCTATTGGGAATGTAGGGTCTTGTTATGGAAACGTTACATTTTATAGATATGGATGGTCCTGAATCCGGTTGCTTAGAGGAAACCAATGCGGATTAAGTTTCAAAACTATAAATCCTTACAGAACGAGGATTCTTTTACTGAACCCTGATCCGATTGTTTTGAGGAAACTTTTACAATTTGATACCATGAGGAATTCTTATGTAAAATATCTAAGATTGGTTTCTATTTTCAAACTACAAATTAACAGATTGGTTTTTAAGGCATTGTGCCAGCTAGTACTTGATGATGTCCTATTCTTCCGACTTCTGGCTCTGGTCTTCGACTAGTGAACTTAAGAAAGCTGTTGGTTCAATAACTAACTAGCATCCCTGGCAAGGTTGTACCCCCTGAGTTTTTTTTCTACATATTATTGTTGTGGGTGTTTTAATTTTATTCTTATTTTATCAATGTGATTGATATTTATTTTTTCTATGTGAAGTGTTTTAGATTAAATGTGTTTTGAGATTAAAAAAGACTAGGATATTAGTATTCGTTAAATTTGATTAAATTTATTAAGAGAAATGGATCAAAGTAATGAAAATTTTGAGTTTTGAATGAAAGTTTAGAAACGAGTTATAAGGAATAATAAATAAATAAATAAATAAATAAATAAAATAAAATTGGCAGCTAGTTATAAAAAACGGGACAAATGCCATTTCCCGCATTTTCTCTCATTCTCTTCTCATTCTCTTCTCATTCCTTTCTCAAACCTTAACCTTCCCACCTCATTCCCACCATCTCACACATTTCTAATTTATTCCACCACCGAAAAAACATTAGATTATGTTAGTTTTTAATGATATAAGTTGAAATCAATTAAGATTGGAGTTTCGAGAGCCAATGTTCTTGAACTTGAAATTCATACCATAAAAAAAGGTATGATTTTTTTTCTATAATTTTTATTTATTTGATGAATTCTTAAATAATTATTGATGATCATGAGGTCATATTGTGATGAGTTTGTCATTTGAGTCATGATTCATGAAATTAGGGTTTTGAGGCCCATTTGATAAAAGTATGGTTTAAGTAATTTTAATTAGTTAGATTACTAGTCGAGTTTTTCGCGTTATGCTTGTGAGTCCGGTAGAATCAAATCATTTTGAAAAATTTTATTTAATTAATTTTTTCTAATTTTTTAAAATAAATTTTATGCTTAAAAAACATAAATCATTCTTCTTTATGGATTGATTTTAAAATAAAAAATTATGATAATTTTAACTAAACTATCAATCAAGAATTAAAAAAACTTTAACAATATAATTTTCATAATATTGTATTCCAAAAAATAAAGTTATAATTAATGGATAAACTTTTACAAAAATTAGCAAATGAAAAAAAAAATTCTTATTTAATGCCGATGAGAAGATTAATTTTTGAAATAATACGCACAACGATACAAGTAGATAAAACAAAATTATTTCAAAATTTCATAATTTTTTCATTAATTTTTTTATTTCATTCTAACAATATTTTTTGTGTGTTTTTCATAAAATTTCTACTTAAAAAACATGATTTATTCTTCTTTATTTTGGGATTCTTAAATAAAAACTTGCAATAATTTAGACATAAAATATTAATTAAGAATTAAAAAAAAACTTTAAAATTATTTTTTATAAGAATATATCCAAAAAATAAAGTTACAATTAATGTATAGACTTGCATGAAAATTAACCACTAAAAAAATAAAATTTTATTCTTATTTATTGTTGATGAGAAGATTTTTTTGTCAAGTATATGAATTTTATCTTTATATATTTATTTACAAAATAATCAATAAAATTAGCATAAAAAACTATATTTGAATAATTGGTTGGTTCCTTTAAAAATTTATTTTAATTATTTTATTTCAAATAAATTTTTTCTATAATGTTAAAAAAATATTCATAGTAAATAATTTGTATTATGTTGGAAGATATATAATTAATTTTTAATAAAAAAATAAGAATAAAAATTAACTTGATGTGAATTTTTATAATAAATTGAAAAGATCAATTTTAAACAATAAGAATAGTATATATTTATTCTAAAATCTAAAAACATATTATATATATTATATAATTATCAATTTATGTGAAAAAATTAACGATTGATATTTATTTACAAAATAATCAATATAATTAGCATAAAAAAAACTATATTTGAATAATTGGTTGGTTCCTTAAAAAAATATTTTAATTATTTTATTTCAAATAAATTGATTTTATAATGTTAAAAAAAATTCATAGTAAGCAATTTGTATTATGTTGAAAGGTGTATAGTTAATTTTTAATATAAAAATAAGAATTAAAACTAACTTGATATGAATTTTTATAATAAATTGAAAAGATCAATTTTAAACAATAAGAATAGTATATATTTTTTCTAAAATCTAAAAGCATATCGTATATATTATATAATCGTCGGTTTATGTGAAAAAAATAATTATGTTGGAAGATGTACGGTTAATTTTTAATATAAAAATAAGAATAAAAGTTAAGTTGATGTGAATTTTTATAATAAATTGAAAAGATCAATTTTAAACAAGTAAGAATAGTATATATTTATTCTAAAATCTAAAAATATATCATATATATTATATAATCATCATTTTATGTGAAAAAAATAACGATTGATTTTTCAAAATTTTAACACCCAGTTAAATAAAAAAAAAAGAACATAAATTGAAAAAATCAAAGGAAAAAAAATATGTATAGTGCATTAGCCAAGGGGTTAAAATTTTTATTTTAAAATTCTAGGGACCAAAATAAAACAATTTAGAAATTTTTATTTTAAATGTTTTTTGAGAATATTAAAGAAGACTAGGATAATTAGAGTTAGTAATTAAGTTTGATTATACTTATTAAGAGAAATGGATCAGAGTAATGAAATTTTTTATTTTTGTTTTGTTGTTTTGATTACATATTAGATTAAAAACCTCAATTATTCATTTAAACCATCTTTATCATGCTTGCAATCCTACAACCCAACTAGTTTTGTGGGGAGAGAGGGGGAGGCCGTGATTCCCTACCAAGAGTTTTCAAGCATATTGCAGTTTGATTAATTTGGTTTAATTTAGCTTTCTTATAACATAAAATACCAAAAACATCATTAGGATTATTAGTAGTTTATTTTCAAAAGTCAATTTGGTTCATTTACTTACATAATTGGGAGATTGACTGTCATGCAGAACACATCATAATAATAGTTTGTATTCTTTTGTTATAAAATCCTCTTAGTTGAGGCTGACATAAAAGAATCGACAATGGTTTTCTTATCGACATCTAGATGACCCTAAAAAGAGCAATATCAAGAGTCTCATTAGCTTGAGATGAAGATGACAAAAGTCATCCTCCTGTAACAGACATGGCTATGCAGGATGGGGGGATCAACATGACACAATGGGTATAGGCCCTTTTTTTCTGATGTCAACACTATGGATGCTTATTCTGCAATTAATATGATTTCTCTGTCTCCATTTGACAATCTAGTTTAATACTTTTAGTGATCCTTTCCAGGTTCAGGTGGTGACGTTTGACACTGACTGCAAACGAGTATTTCGATCACTTGGTGCAAGCAAAGTTCGTAAAATTTACCAAAGAGCTTGTAGCCCAGTGATAGTGATCTTTTGCAACGAGAGGTTATGAGTTCAGATCCTAACAAGTGGCCTTTTGCAAAGGTCGTAAAATTTGCATATGTAATATCCTTTCTCTGCATATAAATATCAATAGATGATACTGATGAATTTATCTTGAACCATCCTTTCAATTCTTTTCTTGTTGTTCTAATATCTGAGCTCTAGTCCTGAACTAGTGAACTTAAGCCGTAGGAGTTTTGAATTGGAAACTCTTTCATAAATACTTCAGTAACTAACCTAGTATCCCTGGCTTACATTATGCAAATAGAAGATGTTGAATTGTCATGTGTTACTTATACAGGTCATTTTCTTTCTTAGAGATTCGTTCTTGGACAGCTCCTTGTAGTCTTGCAAACATAAGATGTTAAATTGTCTACTGATTTTGTTCTGATGCAATGACCAACTCATGCTTGTTTAGTCCCACGTTGTAGTCAAATGGTAGTGGTACAGACTTGAATGCGCGATACTTTCCAACGTTGTGTAAATGTTCATTCTTCAACCTGGCCGATCAGACAGAATGTGAACAAAATCAACTACCGGCAATTTTGCAGTTCTTTAGATCATCCGTAAAAACTCAATTTATTTATGAAATTGAGAATTCTATGCACATTTTAAATGAAACTAGAAGTACCTGAAAAAATTCCATATTCCGCGGCGAATAATCTCAAGGCTAGCTACAATTGCAATTAAGGATTGCCTGTGTAGGAAAGGCAGCTGGAAATTCAAGACAGTTTGCAACCAGGCAAATCTCAGCAATACATTCAAGACCTGCATCGCCAGCGTCATGAGAATTGGTCAGTGATCAGGACTGAATCTGGAGCTGATGCACATAGTTTGGAAACCTGGTTTACAGTTTTATGCTCTGAATACAATTGTTCTTCATATTTTCATTTCGTTAAGACAACAAGACCCAGGGTCTGAGTTTGATTTTGTCATGTATGATTCTAACCATAGTTGTAAATCGCAAACGGTTGAAAAACGGTCGCGGTCGCTATCACGAATCGCGACATATTATAATACTAAAATAACGATAATGGGATGCTTTGAAATCGTTATATAACGGCCATTATATAACGTAACAGATATTATTTAAAACTATGATTCTGACTCACCATTGCTCCAAAATATACACTTCTGTAAGGGATAAGGAGTTTGTCTCTCAACAACCAGTTTCTAGACTGAGATTGGAAAAGCCCCCAGTCCATGACTAGGTCCCAATATGTACCATACACAGCTGCAATCACTGAGGATACTGAGGCTAATATTTTCCAGCCCAGTCCTTGGTTAAGACTGTAGGCAGTCCTTGTGCATATGGCAACAATTGTGCAGAAATATTTAATCCCATTATATCCTTGCATTTTGTCCTTCTCTTCGTGGAGGCGTCGAAGACACTGAAAAATTTGATAATTGTAAGTGCCAAAGCCTAACCTAAGAAGTAAGAAGTCTTTAAAGCAGCTATATATAATTTTAGAACAACTCTTTAGTATCACAGAAGATTCAAGTTACTCACCTGAAGAAGACGAGACCAGTAAGGAATGACAGCAACAATGAAATAGAAAGTGTTGTATACACCATTGGTTCTGCAGGTATTTTGTCTTAGTTTATAGTCTCCCCAGCCATAGTAGCATATGTAGAACTCCAAGCTTCTAAGGGCTTGCACCTGCAATTAAACAAGGAGGGATTCTCAATAACAAAGCAACAGTAGTTTTTATGCTGATTGAAGGCATATATAGACCTGGTTTCTATACAAACCTGGCTAGTTAACTGATCTGCCAAGAACGAATCTTGAAAACTCACCTGTAATCAAGAAACAGAAATCACAGATCAATAGGTTCATCCCTTTTATATTTCCTATTCTACTATATATATTTCTTAGATTTCTGACCATAATTTTCAACCTTGTACATAGGAGCACAGATGCAGTGAAACAAACATGTGATGAGGAAGAAGCGACTTGATCGGTATATAACGTTGAGTGGGCAGAGGAATACGACAACTACAAGCTGAATAGACCAGGAAAAAAGAAACTGTTTAGAGCTCATATATTTACAAATCTGGCAGAGGAACCTTGTCGAGTAACTTTACTATTCTTACCACAACCAAACTTAGAGGTACAAGTTCAGTCAATGCTTGGTAATCATTTGTCTTGGGATCCATTTCCATGTCAAGGTTTGCAAGCACGCTGGCAAGCGACAAGACTGCCAGACCAAAGCCTAACAGCAGAACTTCTCGGTAACCCAGTTGTGTTCCTTGTTTGAAGCCAAATATGAAGGAGTAATTGACACGGTACCGCCTCCAGAAGTATATATTGGCAGCATACATGAGCATATGTAGAACAACGAACAAAAACAGGCTGCAAAACAAGTTGGGAAATGACTTGTTAAATAAGCTGCAAGGTTTCTCATTAGAAGGACAAAATGTGATCTTTTATGCTGGTTTGGAACAGTGATTTTACTGAAGATGTAATTGCTGTATAAATGATAGAGATAGCAATGAGGCCGTACTAAAGCAAAATCATCAGCCCGAGTTCTATTAATTCTTGATACTCGTATAGTTTTAAATAACGATTGTTATGTGACAGTTTCGGAATATGCCGTTACCGTTATTTTAGTATTATAATAAGACGCGATCCGTGATGACGATCGTGATCGTTTTTTTCAACCGTCTATGATTTAAAACTGCTTGATACCCTTAGTTTGCAAAGGTCATGTAAAATTAGGAAGCACAGATGCTTCAAAACCTCTCTATGCTACATACCTGTAAAGAGGAAACATGTTTTCCATGTACTGGTCTTTCCCTTTCATATTCAGCAGATCTCGAGCATGTGTGATTAATATAACAGCTAGAATGAGAGCCAAAATGCAGCCAACAAACAGGCCTGGAAGTTTTCAAAGAAAATAGATTCAGTAACAAAAATGATTGCCGAAAACTGCTTTTTGTTAATTTTCTTCAGTTGACATCTTACCCATGGAAAATGATATCCCATGTCTTTCTTTCTTTGATTGTGGTCTTAAAGTGTCCATGGCTTTGCTTCGGTTTGAATCCGAGAAATGCTTGGTGAATGTTAGTTCAACCCTCTCAATGAGCTTTGTTACCTGCAATGGGAGATCGGCAATCAGATTGCAAGGCGTTAGAGCACAGAAAACTAATTTATTAACATTGATCCTTGAGTAATTTTTCTGCAACATGAACAGAATGCTCACTTGATCGGAGATGCCAAGATAAGAGTTATCCACCATGTTCATATAGGTTTTTGATGTTCTTCTTGAAGTAATCTGCAATGGCGAGGACAAAAAATAGAAAGCAACATTGATGCTAACTTTTGATCACAAACCTTAACATACAATAAGATACAGATCCTTTTTTGTAACTAGGATATACCTTGTCATATTTCTTCATTATTTTTGAAAATGCTCGTATGTTCATGTAGCTGTCAAATTCAAGCCAGGGGATTGAGTACAATTTAAGGAAACAGGAACATGATTAGCATATCCAGACTACAAGAAAATTAAGTGTCTGAACAACAACTGTACCTGTAGTTTTTTAGAAGCCGAAGCTTGTAGTAAAATTCACTAAAGGCCAGCTTAAGTTGTTTTTCAGCTTTCTTTAGATTTTTCCTACTAAACTTAGCCTCAGTTTGATTGGAAAGATCGAGACAGCCTTTGATGGTTGAACTAGGAGTGTCAAGAGTTTTATTCAGTTTCACATGATTAAGTATTTCTAGTGAAGCTAGTCTCACTCCACTGCTGTTCTTCAGTTTCTTTTCAACAATCTCCCCTTGGATGGAACTGTTATGCCGATCATCTGTAACATCATTTAAGTCATCTAATTCCCTTCGATTCGACGTCTGTCCAACGGCAGTAGCATCCATGGAGATAATTCCTGCATAAAAAACAGAATACATCAATTCAAATAACCGAAAAGAATCGAAAAGAAGTTGAATCGAAAAAACTAATTGCAGAATGGAAGCATGGTAGCTCCATATGTAATAAGAGCTTACTACTTGATCCAGCAGCAGATGCAGCAGTAGCTGCATTATCGAAAGCAAGACAATCCAATTCACCAGTCCTATTAAACAGTCCCGGCAAGTTCCGATCTTTCATACGAAAGGCAATCAAAGCATCCATTTGCTTACTCAACATTTCAGCTTCATCCACCACCTCTTGCACCTTAGACCTGTAAAACCTGTCAACCTTGTTAAACTCATCACCAAGCCTTTTGTGGAAGTCTAGTTCAAATTCCCCTACTTCCTCCGCAGCCTTGAGAAACATAGTCTCGTATCTTTCAGTCCCATTTTGCTTTACGTGACTCGCAAGAATGGCTTGGCTTTCAACGTCATTTGTGTTTGAATCTACGGTGTGCTTCTGTCTTTGTATTAGACCACTGAAAGATCTGTATAGCGTTAACGCTCGGTTTAGCCCATCTGGTTGCCTGTTTCTTTGCTTCACACGTTGAATTTCTTTCAGAAGGTTCTTCAAATGATCATAATGCATGTAAGCTTCTTGCCATTCTGGTACCATTTGGGAGGCAAATTCCTTTCCAAACTTCATACTTGAAAGAATAGACGAGTTACTTGCGTCTATAATGATATTCTTGAAAAAGAAAGCAATCCAATGAGCAATGCTGTTTTCTGCAAGTATCTATATATTCACTGTGTAAATTAATTAATTAGAATTAGAGCCTGTTCCATCAAAAACATAAATTTGACCACCAGGAATTTATGTCGATAAAAAGAAATCAAAGTTTCCTCAACTACTACAACTTTCTTTTCTTTTCTCCTACTTTTGCCATGGTTAACTTCCAATATCTTTTCTCAGCGCATTATTTTTGATCCTGCTACCTAATAAGTTACAGGCACATTTATGTTGAATACTGTTGATTACTATCTTCCACTTTTTGCCCGTAAGTAAACACCTCAAAAAAGTTGGATAAATCGTTTCAGACAAATATTCTTTCACTGATATTTTTGTTGTTTCATATTTTTTGAATCAAATGTGGTGGTTGTGACAAATATTCTTTCATTCACTGCCCCACTCAAGCTATCATTCAATTCAGCACGTTTTGCTTTTTCTAAAGTGCAGTACTGTTCACATGGACGGAAAGCACCGATTTATTTATAGGAAAAGCTGTTCTTCCCTTTTCCAGGTGATGGGTGGCGATTAAAGTACAAAAAAGGGACAGAAAATTTTTTTTTAGGAATTTCGGTGTCCCTAAGTAAAAACAGTCATCTCGTGATTTTGATCGAGGGATAATCTGTGCAGTGTTAATGACACAAGCTCCTGCATATAGAATGAATTTCATATTTCACGTTATGGGTGTTGTGGTCTTGGAACAATACAAGAGGAAAATGCCAAAAAAACAGAGCAAGAATCAGAATCATATCAAGAAAAATAATTTTGTCAAGCATTGAGATCTGGATATTTGAGAGCCAGAGAATTAAGGACAGAGAAGAAAAAATATTGCTCCCATAAAGCAAATTTGTCTGCAATTCCCACCTGAATATAGGTAAGTATTCATACACGTGCTCCAGGGATTTTGCGTGAGTGGTCTAATGATGGACTTGGTCTCATTCTGTGTTGGTGATTATAATATTAGAAAAGTACTAAGATAATAACAAGGCTTATTCTATCCTAAAAACAGCAACTATACACCTTTTAATACTTATGGTAATTTTTTTTTAAATGTATGAAAAATACATAGACACGTGAGATGACACATTGGAAGAAAATCCATATAAGATGACACGTGGATTGAATTATAATTTAGTTATGATGGACGACATGTTGTTTGTCCAATTATTAAAATCAATTCCTAAAACTAACCTAATTCAATTCAATTCTTTTGAAAAAAAAAAACAAAATCTTTATTTTCTTCTCTTCTCTTTTCTCGCTCGATCGATGAACAAGCTAGCCAAATCCATAATCTTCTTCTCGTCTTTGCCCGACGAACAAGAACTCCAATATTCTTCTCTTTTTTATGCATGACAAACAAGAACCTTAATCTTTTTCTCTTCTTCAACCAATCCTTTTTCTCCTCATAAAATTTCTAACCAAAACCCACCTCTACATTTGCATACATCTCAAGAAACTCATGAATCTTCAACTAGTACCCATTACCCTACAAATCATCAACTATAAGGTTCTTTCTTTCTCTATCTATACATGTTTTCTTCTCATTTTTTGTGGGTTTTCTCATTTACGTCTATTTTGATGATTCTAGGTTTTGGCACCTCTTTTGCCTATGTAAATTATTCAACTATATTGTGATCGATCAACCGCATTGTGATAGATCAAAACCTACACTCGTATTACCCACACTTGAATTTAGCATAATTATTTTTTTATTATATTAAGTTTGTATTTACAAAGTTTATTATAATTTGTTTATTCTTTTAGTGTTTCGTCAACGGGATGGCTAAAACATTCAAGTTGAATTTTCATGTTGGTGCGGTATTCAATAGCCTAAATCCAATACTTTTGTTGGCAAGGTTAGGATAGGATTATGTAAGTGGTCGAAAAATCGTAGTTACATGACATTAAAAGACCTTGACGATGTTGTTATTGAATGTGGATATATGACACCTAAGGTTATGGTAGTGAAGGAGGGTTAATTATAGATGAGGGTGAGGTTTTTATGAAGATGATAAATGTTGCATGTGAACATGAGTCTACCGATGTGTATGTTGAGGTAGAAGAGAAAGTGGAAGGTGATGGTAGTTTGGGTGAAAATATAGCTACTACAATTGATGTGGCAAACGACGAGAGATGTAGGTGATGATGATAATAAACGTAACGTTACCGATAATGATCATGAATAGAATGTTGCTAACGATAACAATGAAAAGAATGTAGGATGATGATAATGAAGAGAACGACAAAAGTGATGATGATGATGACTACTTACTAATCGAGGAATCACGAAGTGATAGTAGTTTTAGCGATATTGATTCGAAAGTTCTATGGATGAAGAACTAATTGAGACTAGAAAGCAAAGGAAGAGTATGAGGAAGAAGTGTGGTTCTAGTCTTCAATTTAGTGATAAATGTATGGTTCCTACCCTATTAGTTAGAAGAACTAATGAATCAACGAGAGGCCAGTATACCTCAACCTACTAAAGGAGGTTACACAAGTGAATATAATAATAGTGAGGTTGAGCAAATTACCCTTCCTAAAAGTGATGAAGAAGATGTATGTGCCTATAGGAGGAGGAAAAATGGATTGTTTATGATCTTACATGCAACCACACAAGGACTTGGTGTTCAAGGTCGGCATAAAATTCTTATATGAAAAATAATTTAAACGAGCTATGTATTTATATGGTATTGAAAATAGAAGAGATTTGACTTGGGTAAGGAGTTCAAAGTGAGTTATGAAAGCTAATGTGTATAAGGTTATGGATGGAGAGTGTATGCAAGTAAGAAGCAATTAGAGCGCACATTTGAAGTGAAGTGTATTGATGTTGACCATAAATGTGAAAGATTATTGACAAATAGGTTAGCTTCTCATTTATGGTCAGGCCGAAATATATAGCCATAGGTTTCAAAACAATCCTATATGGCTTGCAAAGGAACCGCAATATGCTCGTTAATGAGAGGTATGCATTAATTGTCAATATGTAGATATTTTATAAGGCTAGAAATTTGGATTTAGATATGTTAAAATGGTCTCTAAATAAGCATTATGCAAGATTGAGATAGTATATTCTTGAGTTAAAGAGGATAGATAAGGTAGGAACATTCTATTTTGAACCTATGGAGTATGGTAATTTTGAGTTTAGAAGATTCTATATTGGATTTTTAGCATTAAGAAATGGTTTTTTTAGGTAATTGTTAGAGAGTGTTTCGTCTTGGTAGTGCTTTTTTGAAAGCACTTTTGGAAAGTTATTTACTAACTACAGGTAGGGAGGGATGCCAATAAGCAAATGTTTTTAATAACATGGGCTATCGTGGATAGTGAAAATGAAAAGAACTCGTAGATGGTTTATGGATTTGCTTATAAAGGATTTTGGAATCATTGATGGAAATTCTTGGATAGTAATAAGTGACCAACAAAAGGCAAGTTCAAGTTTTATCTCTCGCTTAGCTTTACTTATTCATAGTTATAAGTTTAAAATCACGTATATTTTTTGTCATCTAAATGATTGTTTACTTATGATTACAAGGACTACAAAATGTTGTCAACAAATACATGTTAAACTCGTGAATATAGAAACTATGCACAACACATTTATGTAAACTAGAAAAAAAAAAAAAAGAAGCATAATGTTGAACTCTACAAGAAGTTGTTCCGGAGGGTAGTGAATACTACTACTTTGGTGGATTACAATGTTGGACCGAAAGGGTTGAAAGTGGTGGATAAGGCAACCTTTGATGACTTCGGGAAGATTGGGCCACCAAAATTTTACAAGATTTTATTTAGAACCAGTCCGAAGTGTGATGCATCTATAAATAATATGTCGAAAGCATTTAATGGAACTATATGTAAGTTTAGAAAGAAGCCATTAATCGATATGCTAGAAGATATTAGAACCTATGTGATAGAGAGAATGTACATTAAGAGTAAGATATTTGAGTCACTCAATGATGAAATCGCTTAAGAATAAAAAGAAAGCTCGAAAAAATTAAACCACAAGCTTGTGCATCTAAGATAGTACGTGCGGTTGGTGATAAATTTCAAGCAAGATTTGGTGAGGATGTATATGTGTATTTAATTTTAAAGAACATACATGTAACTGGAGGGAATGGAATGTCAATGTTATTCCATGCAAGCACACGATAGCAAGCATTGCCTTCATGAGGTGTGACCTCGTAGATTATGTTGATCTTTATTTCAAGAAGAAGAGACATGTGGGAACATATTCAAATGGTTTGAACCTTTGAAAGGCTTCAAAATGTGGCCTAGGAGTGAAGGTCGTGATATACAACCCCTTTCTTATAAGAAAATGCCAAGAAGGTCAGTTTATTTAGCAAAGTTCTTACTCCTTTTGCTGTTTTTTTTTTTCAATCTTTTTTATTTTACTTTTGAAAATTAAATAATTATGGTACATGATTTTCAAAATGAAAGGCTAAAGCAAAAAAGGAGAAAAGCTCAAGGTGAAGAAATGAGTTATATAAAAAAATTCTTCATTTAGCAACGGATCGGCGACTAAAATTAAATCTCTTTGCGATGGACACACATACGATCATTAAATAACGACGGATATGGCGACAGATTTGCAAGAAAATTTAACAAGTATAATTAGCGACTGCAATTCCATCGCTAAATAGCAACAATAATACAGGAAATAGCGACAGCTTTGCAACGGATTCTAGATCTGAAAGACGATCGTTTACTTTGCTTTAGCGATGAAAATACTTCACATTAGGGATGGATAAGTCATCGCTGATCAGCAATTGATAGCAATTTTCGGTGTTAAAAAAATAGCAACGACAGTTCTAACTACTGAAAAATACCATCGCAAACTTGTCATTAAATGTAAATAGCGATGGAAAATGATGATTTAATGACAGAAAATTCCATCGCTATTTTACTGCTTTCTCGTAACTACGCAAGGCATCACTGCATTTGACAGGTTTTTCTGATGGTTTCTTGAAACTGCAGAAATCTTTCACATTCTCTTGCTGTGTAATACGCTTGGTAGAAGGTAACTCGTGTTAGCCCTCACACTTGCTTATTCTACACCAGAAGCGGTACTTAATTGTTTTATTTTTTTTCTTTTTACTCCTTTTTCAGACTCCTGGATGTACACTACTGCAGCTTTCTGCTCCAGTTATGTCTTTTTAAGCTAATTTGACGAACGTAGAGTTTTAGTTTCTACAAAGGTAAGAATCTGCTAAGAAACTTACCTGATCTTAGGACTATTTATGTAATTATGTTTAGTGACCACCTATGTCTTCGGTGGTCCAAGAATCAAGACTCTAATGACCATCAAGTTGACTCAATTCTTAGTCTAATGAATTGGAATCTGATTCAACCTAAAAAACAGAAGTAAAAAGCTAAGTATGAAACAATACACTCACCCAAGTAAATACTTTGGTAGAACCCAATCTAGCTACCAAACTTGCAGAACAAAACGAAAAAACACAATTCCAATTATATACTCCAAGCTTATAGTCCATCTTCCTCAACTTTCTTGAATTAATGCATCAAGACAAGCTTCAATCAACATTGCATTTTCCAAAGCAAGAAACTACTTCCAGCATAATCAGTTTACTACTAATTCACTCCATTCCGTTTTCTCCTTTACTGTGGCTGCCCTCTCCTCAACTTTCTTGAATTGATGTATCACGGCAAGGATAGAACTCCATTTGATACAAATCCTGTAACCATCTGGGTTAGCCTTACTTGTCTGCTAGCATATTGCTTGGCCTATTTGATACTAGAGATGACCTGTGTTACACATTTTTGGTCCCCATGTTATGTCACAGAACCGTGTTGTTTGGTTCGCTGTCATCGGCGACTTTAGCCTCTATATTTTCGCCGCATAGGATCAAGCCATTCCTCTACGTGCTCTGCATCTTGATTTCAATGGCAGAGCTACTGTATGCACCATTTGGAACCTTGTGGAAATGGATTTAGGTTAGACTACTGGGACTATCAGATGCACAAGAAACGCAAGTGGGACAAACATCAGCTGATATACATTGGCATGTGTCAACCTCCTTAACAGATCGAAGAAATAGACTTCCTGTTTAAACTGGAGGATTAACATGTTCAGAAATGTGGGACACACTTATCTGATGAAACATTACAATCAGAACATTATATAGATCTCATATGACCAAAGGCAATCGAAGGTTTTATTGGACTGTTTACATATGTAATATAGGAGCCAATGTCAAAATGAATCAAATATAACCTCTTATTTTCATCAGCAAGTAACTAAATTTGAAAAGAATCAAGAATGGCTTTTAGAGTTTTCTCAGATGCTTGCCATTGTTTATCATTTGCGCTTGCTACAAACAACACAACAGTGCTTCCTTTTGCTGTTGCTTTTGCCAGATTGTGTGTTCCCGTCAAAGCAAATGGTGTCTCAAGAACATACTTGTAATACTGCAAAGACAATGACAAGTTTGAGATGACTAGAAACAGGAAGGAAAAAGAAAAAGAAAAAGGGTTTTCCCTTTTGCCTTTCAAAGAAAGACACATCGTCAAAAGACAAGCAATAAAAGTTCAGAGAGAAAATGCAGATTAAAAAAAAAAAAAAAAAAAAAACTCAATGAAGCTTTAGTGTGCCACAGCCATTTTTACAATATGCCCATGTTTTGCTGGTAATCACATTTTTGTATAAAATAGACTTCATTCAATTAACTTCAATGCCTAGGGAGAGTGAAGCATCAAGAGCCACATAGCTGCCGAGCCGAACACTGTAAATTTCATCCGTTCAAGTTATTGAAAATTTTTCACTTGAAAAAACTTGAGTCAACGTACTAATTCACCACAAATAGACATTCATAAATAGTCCACATCCTCAAAATATCTGAACTCCATAATGAATCATCAAACAACTCTTATTACCAATATCTAACCATCTTATGAAATGAAATAAAGCTAATGATACTATTGCAGAAATTCAAAAGTCAGTTTGCATTTCACAGAAGCATCAAAATAAGCTAGTGTCTGATTGAAGGGTACCAAGATCAAGTTTCTGCAAGATGCATGAAAATTTTTATTCTATCCTCTGATTTTGTGTCAAGAAGAAAATTTCCTGAATATTTGTTAACCAATAATAGCTTCGTTTTATTTTGCCAAGCCAAGGGCCAGGAATTAGACAGTAGCCGGTAGCATAAATGGGCAAAATGCAATAAGAAAGGCAATAATTTGCAGGATGAGTTAACAGGATCGTACCGTCTGATCACCGAGTTTTTCAATTCTTGTTTCCAAGAGCTCATCAGGATCATAAGAGTTTCCTGTAACAAATGGGCCAAGAGAGGCAATCAACTTCTCCGGGCTTCCAATCTCTTCAATGGTTGCATTAGGCTTGTTGGTCAGGCGGATCAAAGGAGAAGCCACCACCTGGACTTTTCCTTGCTTTTCATCTTCGAACTTCACCTCAACCCAGGGCTCTGCACATTTAGGTTGGCAGTAATTACCAGATAATATATTTGCTACTCGTGTTTGCTTCCAACTCGGTGGGAGGATGAACTGGTAAGGTTGAACATTTCCTGCAAGAAACTAAATTTCAACTATCATTAAAATGTGAAAAATTACGAAGACAAAAACATCTTCCTCATTACACTGTAATTCTTCTCATCCTCACATAAAGATGTCAATTGCTTGTATCGGTGATATTCTCCACTGATAGCCAGAGTGCTCTTTCACATGGATACACAGATCATAGGTATTTGTTTGGCTCTCATTTAAGGTTCTTTTTACATTGTGTTCATATCCTATTTCATAATTACTGATGCATCCACATTGCTCCACGGATCCCCTCCCAAAACGGAAGAAATTAAAGAAACAAAAAAACCCCAAAAGCATGGAACACATACATCAGAAACCTCAACATCCTCAGAAATATAGATCACCCAAAAATTCATCTTTCAAAGTTTCATATAAAGAACAAAATAAGGTCTATATTTCTATTAGTGCTTCCCCTAGTCACATTTGGGCCTTCTTCAATTCCTTAGCAACAATTTTTTTTGCCCCAACTGTTAGGCTACAAGAAACCCCAGTAACCCTATCTCAAATGTAAGTAGAATTAATTTGAATGCGTCAAAGTAACATGCCAAGTGACTCTATCAACTAGGCTAATTGCCACCATATATAATATAATTTGTTTGTCGTTGCAATTCACTAGCTAAGGACAAAAGGCAGGTGGTGGAGTAAGTTGACACAAGCACGCAAATATAAAATGGAAAATGAGAATTTATGTACCAGCACGAAGAGCAGGGGTGTCTTTTGGGCTGGCTTTGAAGAGAACAAAAGAAGGGTCTGATGGAGAAGGTGGCAAGTAAGAACCAACTTCAACCTCTCTAGCTTCAGAACTTGGGGGTTCTTTAATCAAAATTAAAGGAGACAACACTAGTCCTTTCAAGATTTGTCTCCTCAAAATAACCTGGTTTCTATGTTGGTCCAACGTTGCTGTTGCTGTTGCTGTTGTTGTTGTTAATGTTGTTGTTTTTGAGGTTTTGAGTGGAGATTTTGGAGATGAGAAAATTGGAGTTAGTGAAGCAGTTGCCATTTTAGAATTTTCGAAGAAAAATGAGGGAGAGTGAGAGATTTTTGTAGGATGAGGTCCGGGCCATCCCGCGCTTACTCTTATCCGTTTATGGATGAGACACCTGGACGGGTAAGTGCTGGGTGTTTGTTAAACTGTGCTTGTTGTCAGCACCTAACCGCAAGAAAATTGTTTTAATCGGAACAAGATAAATGTTCAATTTTTACTATTTATAAATAATTAAGCGTAATTATTTTTTAATTGTATCATTTTTTAGCTGGTTTGATTTAAAAGAAATCTCACTAATCAAACAAAACTAAATGTGTTTTGGTGTCTGTCTTATCCTGAAAAATAATAATTTTAATTTCGATTGATATGAAAACTAATTCAAAAAATACTTTACGATATGTAAATATCAAAAAAATAAAAAAAAGTGACGTAATTATTTTTTTAAGTAGGAATCTAATAAAGATATATAAATGATTGAGATAAGATATATCATTCTTTATATACTAAAGGAGTTATCACATTGCACTTAGATAAATGTTTACCAAAAAATCAGTGCCTACAGTGAAAATATATCAATAGAGCATAATTGATTTTCTTATGAGCTAAGACATTTTGAAATTGAAGAAAACTTATGTGATCATAATCAAACAGATTATAAACCAAATTCGAGATCACACTGTGATATATTGACATGAGGATTGAATTGTGTAGAAACCATTTTCGTAAAAGCTAATTGCAAATTAATTAATTCTCAAAGAGAATTGGGTAGTCATAATGCTTTGCTAGAGGAAGTCAATCTTGATTTATGTATTAAGAGATAAAAGAAGTATCTTTTATCTTCTGATACATTGTCAAATATCTACGAGCTCGTTGAGGCACACATATAAATTTAAACATTCACACGATAAAAGAGAAGCAAGGGTTTTGAAAAAAAATTCTGATTTTGAAAATTTTTCTAAAATGGAAATTAGTTTCTTATTTTAAAAATCAATTTCTTAATTTGAAAGTTAGTTTCAAATTTGAAAGTCGATTACCTAAAATGAAAATCATTTTTCTAATTTAGGTTTAAGGATAATTTGAGAAATTGTTTCCTAATATCTAACTGCCGAAAAATATTTAACCAATTTATTTAGATTATCCAAATTAATTGATAATTAATTGAGTTAAATGAGTTTAGGCCAATAGGTTAATTAAAAAGTTCGTAAGATATTTTTGGTGGATGGATAAACTTGAGCACTAAAGGATAAGACTTAGGATTTACAAGTATAAGATTAGTCAAAGCCCATATAAGTAACTCCTTTCCTAAGAAGGAATTGTTGCTGCCCCTATAAATAAGAAAGAGAGAGAGAGGCGGCAGTAGAGATCGTAAAAGAAAAGGAAGAGGACTCTCTCCCTAAAGAAAAATTTGGCCACCCTCTCTCTCTTAAATAGGTTGGCACAAAACCCTAATTTATTTTCTAAAGGAAAGATTTGCTATACAAAATAGTTGGAGCTAGCACACCACGATTTCGTTGCTTCTAAGTGAGTGTTTGAGTCGCGTGAATTATCATTAGAGGCCGATTCTTAGACGATTTCTTTCCATAAAGTTTAATTTTGAGGTACAAAAGATAATCACTCATTATTATCTTGTTTATGTTTATATGATTAGTTGATTCAATGACATGATCTTGAAAACTTTAGATGGAGGGGAACAAAAATTTGTGTTTATTCTACACCTTCATAAGATGCATTATCCTTCAAGCTCCCGATCCAAGTACATTTACGAGGGATTCTTTCCATATGATAGAGGCTATGATAGACACAACTAGTGGTGGTGCCTTGGTAGATAAGACACTAAAAGCAACTAGAATTTTGATTTCAAACATGGCTACTAACACCTAACAGTTCGATACTCGATGTGATCCTCCTCCTTCAAAGAAAGTAAATGAAATCGGTACCTCTACACTCGAGTAGTAGATTGCGAGATTAACTTTCTTGATGAGACAAGTAGCAACGAGTGGTGTTCAGCAAGTGAAGGTATGTGATATTTGTTCGGCTGTAGGGCACCCTACCGATATGTGTCCTATTTTATAAGACAATCCTAGGCTAATCCCGTACATGAGTTTTTAGGGTTGCCACAACAAAGAAGTTATGACATTCATTCTAACACATACAATCCTAGATGGATAGATCACCCCAACTTCAGCTATGAGAATAATCATGGTGGTGCACAATAGCAAAGGCCCTACCAAAAACCACTTCATAAGCAATAAGCTTCGGCTTTAAGTTCTACCTCTTCGTTGGAAGATATGGTGAAAATATTAGTTTAGAATATCGCTCGGCTTCATAATAACACCATGCAATTCCAACAACGAACAAGAATAAGCATTCGTAACTTAAAGACTCAAATGAGTCGAGTTGTTACTATTTTGAAACAATAAAAAATCGGACAAATTGATCGAACCGATTCTTAATGGATCAACTCTTGCTTACCCTATCTATAGTTTTGTAATTATATTTAGTAAGGAAAAATAAATAGATAGAATATCGCTCGACTTCATAATAACACCATGCAATTCCAACAACGAACAAGAATAAGCATTTAGAACTTAAAGACTCAAATGAGTCGAGTTGTTACTATTTTGAAACAATCAAACATCGGACAAATTGATTGAACTGATTCTTAATGGATCAACTCTTGCTTACCCTATCTATAGTTTTGTAATTATATTTAGTAAGGAAAAATAAATAGATAATTTATGATGGTACGACACGCTACCACTCCCATATCAGTATAATTGTCTCTCTAAATATACATTCGTATAAAAGATATAATATTTTCAGTAGAATGTTTGATGAGTAAATTATAAATTAATCTTATAGTTTCAAGAAATGAATTACTTATTTAAAAAAAAAAACTAATTATTCGGTTATTGAACGAGTATAGACCATATCTAATTAAATATTACTTTATTTAAAAAAAATCTAATTTACTTGTAATATATTTTTTTTTCTAAAATAAAAAGATAAAATAAATTGAAAAAATATTAACTCGGAAGAAAAAAATTAAGTAATTAGTTTTTAAAATAAAAGAAACTATTAATTTATTATTATTATTTTTTTAACTAGATGGACTAATTTATTATCTTATTTATGTTTATATTATTAGTTGATTCAATAACATGATCTTGAAAAATTTAGAAGGAGGGGAACAAAAATTTTTATTTATTTCATATCTTCATAAGATGCATGATCCTTCAAGCTCCCGATCCAAGTACTTTTATGAGGGATTCTTTCCACATGATAGGGCTATGATAGACACGATCATTGGTGGTGCCTTAGTAGATAAGACACTAGGAGCAACTAGAATTTTGATTTCAAACATGGTTGTTAACACCTAATAGTTCGGTACTCGATATGATCCTCCTCCTCCGAAAAAAGTAAATGAAGTCAATACCTCTACACTTGAGCAATAGTTTGCAAGATTAATTTCCTTGATGAGACAAATGGTAGCGAGTGGTGTTCAACAAGTGAATATATGTGGTATTTGTTTAGTTATAGGGCACCCTACCGATATGTGTCCTATTTTACAAGACAATCCTACCGAACGAGCTAATGTTATAGGTGATTTTCTAGTAGTCGTCACAACAAAAAAGGTATGACATTCATTTTAACAAATACAATCCTAGATGGATAGATCACCCCAACTCGAGCTACGGGAATAATTATGGTGGATACCAACCACCACTCCGAAGCAACAAGCTTCGACTTCGAGTTCTACCTCTTCATTGGAAGATATAGTGAAAATATTAGTTTAGAATACCGCTCGGCTTTAGAATAACACCATGCAATTTCAACAACAAACAAGAATAAGCATTCAAAACGTAGAGACTTAAATGAGTCGAGTTGCTACTATTTTGAAACAATCGTACATCGGACAAATTGATTGAATCGATTTTTTATGGGATCGACTCTTACTTACGCTATCTATAATTTTGTAATTAGATTTAGTAAGGAAAAAAATACATAGTTTATGGTAGTACAACACACTACCACTCCTATGTCAAGTATAATTGTCTCTCTAAATATACATTAGTGTAAAAGATATAATATTTTCAACGGAATGTCCGATGAGTAAATTATAAATTAATCTTGTAGTTTCAAGAAATAAATTACTTATTTTTGGAAAAAAAAACTAATTATTTAGTTATTGAACGAGTATAAACCATATCTAATTAAATATTACTTTATTTCAAAAAAAAAATCTAATTTACTTGTAATATCTTTTTTTCTAAAATAAAAAGATAAAATAAATTGAAAAAATATTAACTGGAAGAAAAAAATTAAATAACTAGTTTTTAAAATAAAAGAAACTATTATTATTATTTTTTTTTTAACTAGATGGACTAATTTATAATTTACTTGATGTGTGATGGAAACTATGGATATGTATCCTGTTCGGAAGAAAGAAAGGGGGAAATGGGATAGATTAGATATTAGTCGTGACCAACTCAAAATTGTCACCAACTTTCTTCTCTTCCCGGCCCAATGGGCCAAGATAGAGAGGGAATTTGCAAGAGCCCAATTTACTATGAGCCTAGGAATAGAAATCAATGGACGAGTAGGTCCATATAGGATCCACTAGTAAGCACACTAGCCAAGCAATTCGGGGTCATCCAGGTGTTATCGCGTCAAATAAACGTATGTATTTGGATTTCAATAGAATATTTGAATTCGTGTTTCTAAGATGATTTTAGAAATATTGAAAAAACTTATTCTTACATCCATGATTTCAACCATTGATGCACATTATCCAAATGTATAACCTCAACCTCAAGGGATTTAATCACATTGTGGTAGGTCTATGATCAATTTAAAATAGATTTCACATAATTCATGTAAAACAGATTTAAGATTAACAACAAATAAACATCCTTCTATTCTTTGTTTTTTTTTTTTTTTTCATATGATCCCTCTATTTTTTTTATTTATCAAAACCTTCTATTCTCAAAATTTTCTTAACCCTTTCAAATTAA